CCTGCACTGCTCTTTCTGCCCCAAGACCCATTGAGTTGCCACCTGTGACCTCCTAGAAACTTCCTGCTCAAGCCCTCTAGGCACGCTCTGCAGCACAGGCCTTCCTGCTGCTCCTCGGACACCCAGGAACAGGATTTCGCCTGCTTCTCTGTCTCTGCTCTTTCCTTCTCCTCACAGAATAGCTCCAGACCCACTGTCTGTCCAAATTCCATCCATTCCTCAGGTCCAAGCCAGTTGCACCTTTCTCCACATACCTCCTCAACTCATGATGGAGACCACAGTGGGGGTGGGGGCTGGAGAGAGAGAGAGAGAGAGAGAGAGAGACAGAGAGACAGAGAAAGAGAGGCAGGTGCCTCCTGAAACTCAGCTGGAAGACCAGTACAACATGTTATCATTTTCTCTAGATGGAGGAAGAAGAATACAAACAGATTTTCCCGGATGATTCCCCAGGAGAGCTGTCCCAGGATCCTACCCAAGAGCTGGCAGGAGGTAAAAGAGAGGCACAGCTGGGGAACATCTGACATGCAGGCAGGACACAGCTCTACCACGTGGTGTGCTGGAGAGACAGTCGAAGTCCCCAGTCACAGGCACTCGCCCATCTTGGCCACCATTGGAACCTTTGGGTTAGGGCCCTCCCTTATAGCCAGAAATAAAGTTAAGGCCCCCTGACAGGTATGGTGGGCAAAAGGAGGCAAGAAATAGCACTGGTTGCTAAATCTCTATTCCAGTCTCAAAGAAAATGGTCCTCACAGTCTGGGCTTTCCTCATGAGGAAGGATGTGGTGATGGGTGTTATGAAAACAACTGAACTCGTACCCCGAGACTTGGAAGCCAGCAGACCCTCCATGTGTGTTTAGCTGGCCTAGAAGTGAGCACTCGCAAGGCCACAAGGGTCGAAAGCACCATGTGAACAAGCAGAATGTACGTGACCGCTCCCTCAAAACTGGGCTCAGCCTTCTCGAGGGCTTCTCTCCCCCGGCAGCCATGGCACATGGTCAATCCCTTAACTTTCATGGGCATGTGTCATGTCACCTGGGGAGACAGAATTTAGGAGTGCTGGGGACCCACTCATTTTCCTACCCAGAAG